GTTGTTGCTAAATATATTTATCAAATTGCTCTTCTTTCAAAAATTTCTCCTTGTTTATATGAAGAATGTTATCCTACGAAGTTCTACGATATTATTTTTCAAACATGACGCATTAGAAACAAGAAAAGGGTTACTAATACCTAATTAGAGAAGGGGATATAATAAAGTCGAAATTAAGGTCAAATAGCAGCTAATTAATAAATGATATGATCACAACAAGAAACATAATCTAAGTGAGACACAATTATAGCGTGTCAATATATACATAATACTAATAGAGCTCTCTGCCTAGCATCATCTATGCTTGTGAATGGAGCTGTTATTTTCCATTTTCGTGCAAAACGTGTAAAATAGATTTGGATTTGCACTTGGCCTAGTACAATTAAGAAAATTAGGACACTTCCTGTGTGTTTCATTCACCTTCAAGCTTGGATTCGGAACAGGTTAAAATGACATTGACTGATGCATGACGTGTAAAAAAGGGAACATCACGCGTTATTGCTGTTGTAGAGAATGATTAGCATCTCATTATGTTCTGCAAATAAGCAGTCTTTGATGAGAGTTTCTATTGTAAATTTGTAATTAAGGAGAGTCTGAGATAACATTTGTGCTCATCCATTACTTAAGGATTTTTCTCCACTTTTTCTTTTGAGTTTATATTCTCGGGATTTGATGGTAAAGGTTCATAACATTTGTACTCTATCAAATTCTAATAGAACCTCATGCATAACCCTTGGATGCAGACCTTCGTACCACATTAATTATATTCTTATGGGGGAGTTTGGTAGCTTGTAAGTTCCAACTATCACTTGTACGCGAACGAGACGTTGCAATTGTTACTACAAATGACTACAATTGACTATAATTGCCACTGTTTGATCCAATTCTAAATTGTACAACCTATAGAAGCAATTGTAGCGGCAGCTCTTTGTTTCTACTTACAACTTTCATCTGCTACTTGCTTTTACTTGATAAATTTAAAAAATGAAATGTTAGCTGAATTTTTTCTTTTGATATTATAAGTATTTAAATATATTTTAAAAATTAATGTTTCTCAATTTATTGGAAACTATTTTACATTATTTTTGGATTTTTTAATTATTTAGAAATATACTTATTAATGTTTGAAAAAAATTATGGAATTAGTTGAATTTTCCAAATTTAAGAATTTTTTATTTTATGTTTTTTACCTTTTATTTATTAAAAATAAAAATAATATACCTTTTTTAAATATCATGATACTTTTTTTGGAAAAATTTCCCCTGACTTTTAAAGATAGTTTATTAAAAATTAATTCTTTTTTAAAAATTGATTTTTTGGGAAAAAGTTGAGTTTTTGAAATATCATGATTGTTTGAAATAATGAAAAATTGTGTCAAGGCCCCAAAAAACAAAACTCGTGTGGCCCAGCCCTATAGACTTTTTTCCATGTTGTTTAGCCCTAAAAGGCCCAATAAAATATGGCCTAGCCCCAAAAACCATATGTATACATGTATTTAATATATTTGTGGTTCTCTTCCGAAATTGCTCTCTTCTCATGGAAACTCAACCCAGTGGGTACGACGCCGATCACAATAAATGCGAGGCGACAACGAAAACGGAGGGGAAAATGCCTAGGTTCCCTCTATTACTACTCTATCTCATCTTCTATCATCTATTTTACTGTTTTACTCTCTCATTTATGGTATTCGAGTTTTGTTCTTCAACTTTCAACTATCCTTCATCTCCTAGAAATTCTCTCAATTACTCCTCATAACTGTCCTTCATATTAATGGCCGCCAGTAACCTCATTTGTATGGTGTCCTTAGGTGAGAAAGTTGTATTCTCAATGCTAAGTTCTACAACAAGTTTTTTTTAAATTAAAAATTGATGTGTCTGAAAGAATGAAAGTTCATCAGGATGCTTTATCATTGATATATAAATCTGAGAGGCACCTAAATCTGAGTTTTTCAATAGAGAATGAAGGTGATATAATGTGTATGTTAGACCATAATTAAAATATTGGTTGTATGCAGATTCATATGCAAGCTATTGTTGATGTAGAGGATTTTACTTCTTAAAAAAAATAGAAAGTTCTAACTAAAATATAAGCAATTATTAGCCCGTTATTAAAATTAGGGTTTGCGTAATATAAGTTTTGTGATTTCAAATTTCATACTACAGACCCATCTTAAATGCTAACTTTAATAGTTACATGTTAACTATTCCGATCGTCTGTGAACTATCATAGCTATCTCTTAACTTTTACCTGAACTTATTAATTTTTCCAATCGATCTGTTAACTATCACAGCTATCTGTTAACTCTCACATGAACCTGTTAACTATTCCCGTCGTCTATTAACTGTCACCGTTACCTGTTAACTTTCACACGAACCTTAAATTTTCAAGATCACAAGTTAGTTTTATAGTTTATTTTAAAATCTGACCAGTTTCTTAATTTGTGCAGTAGTGATACTTCTTTGAATTCAGAATATAATGATATTGCTCCAGGAACTACTTCTAATTCAGAGAGGATCTCAAATGATTGTTAGTCTGGTGAGAATGTAATGACATGAGATGACATTCTCAATAACACTTTCATCATTCCTCAATAGTGGTGACACACAACATTAATTAAAAAGGGTCAACAATTTGAAAGTGTAAATGAATTAAGATTAGCTTTGCAAAACGATTCTATGGCGAAAATGTTTAATTATGAATTTGTAAAGATTAAACCCAAACTGATTATTGTGGATTGCTATGTAGAACTATATTTTTGGTAGAGCAATATAGGTTGTTAAGACTTTTGTAGCTCATTGTGGAAGAATTTTGTGAGCTTGAAGAATGTAAGACCAATAAAATTACGTATTCAAACTATATCAGATGTAAGAATGTAAGACTAATCAATATAAAGTACATGTTTACTATATGTTGGCTATTTCTGTTTCCTGTTAGCTATCCCAGGTAGCTTTTAAGTTTCACTTAAACATGTTAACTTTTGGCTTTTCCTGTTAACTTTCATCGAAAATTGTTAACTCTAGATATTACTTGTTAAGTATATATGGTATCAACAACTAACATATCAAATTGTATCAAAAAAAATCTAACTAGTGATTAGTGTGGATTGCTATATATAACTATACTTTTGGTAGAGCAATATAGGTTGTCAAGACTTTTGTAGCTCATTGTGGATGAATTTCATAAGCTTTAAGAAGGCAAAATGACCAAATTAGTATATTTTATTTATCTATAGTGATAGGTTGGCATATAAATTTTTCCGGTACCACATAGGTATATTATCTGAACTCCGACGATAAATAGGCCTTAAGTTTGGCTGAATCTAATTTTTTAGCCATTTTTCTCACGTGATGGCTCACGTGACTCCAACGTGGCCGCCAGCGTGACTGGAGTTAGCGGGAATTTTGTAGATGTTTGGTGGAAAATTTGTAGTAAAAAGAAAAATTAAAAGAAATGTATTTGATTTGTATTCTCTCAATCTCAATTACAATTTAAATTTCCGATTACAAAAGATAAGAGAATTGATCTGAATTCTCCCCTTTGTTTAAGTCTGGGTTCTTCACGGTGGCGATGAGATGCCTCCCTCGAATGCTCGCGTCGAGTTTGCTTCTCGTTGACCATCCGAACGTCTTGTTTCACTGGAATGTGGTCTTCTCCTCACGATTTAACGTTGTGGAGAACTTGCAAAGTAAGTTTTAGAACTCTGGACGAGTTGATAACTCTGAACGAGTTTGAAACTCTATGAAAGAGTTGATTTAACCGAAATCGGTTTATAAGCTAAGGATGAAGAAAGCTCCTGTTGTCGATCTCCAAAGCTCCAGCAATTTCCCCAAAAAGCTAGCGAGGATCTCTTCTTTTCTGCCAAGCTCCAAGGCCAAAAGAGATCAATCCGAGAGCAATCTGCCAGCCCCCCAAAAGACCAGCCTACGATCTCATCTTTGCTGCCGAGTCTAAGATCCAAAAACCCAGCCGAAAGGAAGATCCGAACTCAGTTGAGCTTACTCTTTTTTATAGGGGATTAAGGGGGTGTAACCGTCCCTTAAATCACTCCTAAGTGGGGTGTAACCGTCCTCAAATCATGGGAAACAGTTTTGGAACTGTTCAAGGGTTTAAGGGGTGTAATCCCTCCTAAAATCTCTCCATAATGGGATATAACTAAGGGTGCCAAACGGTTCGGATATATCCGAACCGATCCGCATCCGTATCCGAACGGATGCGGATATGGTAAGCTAATTTTGAAACCGGGCGGATACGGTAACGGATACGGATATGGTTTCGGATTTTTTTTTCGGATACGGATTCGGAAACGGATATTAGAGTTGCGGATACGGATATCCGCAAATGTAATAATGATTCGGGTCCCAAAGTTCCATTTCCAAACCCGTAACCGCTAACCCAAACCCGTATGTATATAACTTGTAAGTTCTAAACCCTAGCCTCCCAACAGCCAGCCCATTCCATCTTCCTCCACTCCATTCTTAACCGCTAACCCTTGCGCCTCCATCGCCTCACCAGATCGTCAGATCTTCGTGGAATCTTCGTCGTCTTCGAAACCTCAAGGGCCTAAGTGAAGATCTTCGTCGATCTTCGTCGTCTTCGTAACCGCTAACCCTAGCGCCTCGATCTTCGTCATCTTCGTCGATCTTCGTCGTCCATCGCCTCAGTAAAGATGCCCAACTTCAGATTCCATTGTCTTTTCTTTTGAGTTCAAGAAGACAAATGATTCATCGTTGGGTAGTTTTGCTTCCAATTATCCACAAGCAGATTGGGCACAGGAAGGGGGTGATCCGGCTTCTTGGTCTTGGGTACAATGTAATTCTGATCCACAACCAAGAGTAATTTCAATGTACGAAAAAATTGAACAGTGCCTCCCTTTATGGTTTATTTGGTTATCCTTTTGCCAATTTGTCCTGGAAATAATTCTATTGTTTTATATGCACTAACATCAATTTTATTTAGGCAGTAGTTTGTCTGGGATAAATCTGACAGGGGATATTCCTTTGGAGCTCACAAAGTTAACAAGATTGGTTGATCTGTAAGATTCACAAAATTCTCTCGTTTTCTGTATTTCGCATTCATCGTTATGCATTTCATAGATGCATAAATTCCCTTTTATCATGATAAATCACAAATCCTAATTGCAGACGATTTGGAATTGCTGCAACATACAGGTTTTACTAATTTAAATATCACAGATGCAATTTTGTCTGTAAAATGGAACTTTGGAATGTAGGGTGTATATCATAGTCAAGATTCCTGGATGATTCAATGTTTATACTATAGCTTTGTGTTTGCAGGTAAAGATGTTCTTGCAAAAGCAAGGACAGGAACGGGGAAAACCGTAGCATTTTTGGTAAGTCCATCTCTTGTACTGGATACTGCGATTGAAATTTGCAGTTCATGTTTACCCACTTTTTAAGCAAAAAAATCTGGCTTGGTGTGCTCCTATTTACAAAAATTGTTGGATTTCAGCTCCCGGCAATAGAGATCGTCTCAAAATTACCGCCCATTAACCGTGATCAAAAGAGGCCTTCAATCAATGTGCTTGTTATTTGCCCAACTCGTGAACTTGCAGATCAAGCTGGTGCAGAGGCAAACACCCTTTTGAAGTTTCATCCCTCTATCGGTGTACAAGTTGTTATAGGTGGCACAAGACTGGCATTGGAACAAAAGCGCATGCAAGCTAACCCTTGCCAGGTTAAAAGCTTTACTTGATTTTAGAAAAGCTGGATTATTATTATTTTTTGTAAGCTTTATGCTAACGTCTAGATCGACAGATTCTTGTTGCCACGCCTGGAAGGCTTAGAGATCATATCGAGAACACACCAGGATTTGCAACTCGGCTAATGGGTGTGAAAGTCCTTGTTCTTGATGAAGCTGATCGTTTATTAGATATGGGATTCCGGAAAGATATTGAAAAAGTTGTTGCTGCTGTTCCAAAACAGCGTCAAACACTCCTTTTCTCTGCTACAGTTCCAGATGAGGTATGGTCATGACCATATAAGTTTCTGTTATCTCCAGCTTTACAAAAGCATTCGAGAAAAGAGTAACATGTGCTCTGTCGGCGGCTTAGATAAAAAAATGGAATCTTAAAATATCTTTTTGGTGTTTTGAGAAAAGTGTTTAATTTTTAGATTTTGTAAAGGGATAAGTCAAAAAAACGCCCCGGTTGCCAAACACGTTTCTTTGTTTTTGTTGGAAAAAAAACAGAAACGGCAAAAACGCCACGGTTGCCAAACGCTCCCTAGATTTCGCACCTGAACTCCATTCTTTTGAGCTTCACTCTGAGATCCACAAGATTCAAAGATTTCCACCATAGTCTTCTTCTTCTTTTCACCTTTTGGACCAGTGGAACCCATTATACTAGAAAAGAACTCTTCATCATTCTCATCAGATCTAGTATCAGAGAGCTCCGCAGGAGAGAGAGCAAACTGGAATTTGATGCACGAAGACCAATGCTGAAGATCTTCTTCCCACTGTTCTTCTTCTTCCTCACCATGAAAACTCGGCAGTGGTGCAAGTTAGCAAAGCATAGATCACCCACTAAACTTACGCCATCAGAACTGCCCTCTTACTTCAACTTGTAGCTGACTTTTTGTCAGAGCTGAGATTGAATGTAAGAGAAATACATTCTAGAAAGCCTCAAAGTTACAGAACCAGGGTGTCCAAAGAGTTCAAGGAGTCCAAAGGTCTAATTCTTGTGAGTTCTGATGTATCTGCTCGAGGAGTTGATTACCCGGATGTTAGCCTTGTTATACAGGTGCTTTAATGCTGACCAGTTTACAATATTTGTTATTTCTATGTCCAGTTTCCCATTATGCTATGTGTCTATTGTTGTTAATGTTGGATAGGGAATTCCTAATCTATTTTGGTAACATGAGGTTATTAGGATTCCTAGTCTATTTTGGTAACATGAGGTTATTAGGATTCCTAATCTATTTTGATAATAGGTTATTAGGATTCCTAATTTGATTTGGTTTTGGTTTAGAATTCCTAGTATGTTTATGATTTTAGGATTTCTATATATATGGAACAATTGGAAGAGAAAATTGGTGGAGAAGAAAAATTAGGGATATTTAGAGCACAGAAAAGAGGTATTTTCTGAGCTATTTGTTTAGGGTTTTGTTTGGAGAGATTAAGAGCTTGTTGGTGAGATTAGTTTGTTACTTCGAATGATTTGTAATCTCAGTTTGTACTCTTTCTCTATTAGTAAAAACCCCATCCCTTTCTTGCCCCGTGGACGCAGGCAACTTGCCGAACCACGTAAATCTCTTGTGTTAATTGGTGATTATGCTTGTTTATTTGGTTGTGATCTCTCTTGTTTGGATTGTGTGATTCGACCGCTTTCGCGCCGCGCACAACAATTGGTATCAGAGCTCCAGATTTCAGATCTAGGGTTTTGTCTTGGTTGGAGGAGTAGATCAGTTTGGAAGTTCGGCTAAGGCTTTGTTTGATGAGAAAGGTGGGATCTTTTTGGTAAAGACTCTATTATTTTTAGTTTTGGATCTATTCTTCATTTGTTCCGTATTTGTTTTTGTTCTTTGAGAAAGATGGTCGGGAAAGAAGGAGTTGTGGAGGGTACTTCCGGCTTGAAGATCGTCCAAAATTTGATTATCCACTCTATGAAGATAGATGTGAAGAAGTTTAATGGCACAAACAATTTTGGTTTTTAGAGATGTGAAGTCTTGGATGTGTTCAATGCGCAAAATTTGGAAGATACTTTGGAGTTGGACATGAAACCGGACGACATTGAGGAGAAGGTTTGGAAAAAGAACAGTGTGTGGTATAATTAGATCTTGTTTGACTCAAAATTTAAAATATAATGTGATCAATGAAGAGTGTAGAGAACCGCTTGTATTTGACAAAGAGTGTAGAGAACCGCTTGTATTTGGCTAGACTATGGTATTTGTTGAGACTAGGTTATTTGATTGGTTATGCCGTGCATGGTTTGTTGAGGTGTGCTTTGACCTGCAGATTAAAGTTCTTTGAGAACATTGGTATGAGCAAGAAGACCGTTTGATGTCGAGCATTGGCATTGGTGTGCGGGCTTCGACATATTTGGGTCATCTTATGCATAGGTCGCCGACTGCTGCATTAGGAGTTATGGGATCTGGTGGAGCTGCTTCAGATTTTGGGTTGCGTCGGATGTTTGGCTACCCAGCACTCGGTCACATAGTGGATGTGAGATTTGATCCGATAGCATATTTGGGATTCAGAGGCGTGTTTGATTATCAGGTGTTGGCTTCTGACTTTGTTCTGAGCAGGTATGTCACGTTTGACTCTCAGCAGGTGGAGAGTGATGATCAGATCTTTAGGACATCGCAGCGGGTGGAGAGTGATGCTACTCCACATTGGGAGGAAACTCCAGATCATACTGCATCATTTGGGATTCCAGCTGAAGTGACACAGATTTGGAATCGTGTTGATTTGGATACAGATGATAGGTTGATTGATTCGAGTACAGCTGATGGATGTAGTCTGGATATGGCCATTGGTTCATCTCAGGTGGAGATGTTTGGATTAGTTCAGTTTGGAACCATTGGATGCAGATGATAGTATTTTCTAGTAATGATGTTAAGATAGTACTTTAGTTTTAATGGAATTTAATATTTAAGTTCCATTACTAAAAGCCTTTGGATGGATCAGTATGATTGACAGGAGCCGTGTAGGTGAAAAATTAGAAGTATTCTTGTGTCAGCTAAGCAATCAATTTCTCTGAATTTGTATTAGTTTCATTAGAGACGCTTTTTTTGTGGCCATAGAAATTTAATCATCCTGTGGGTTACCTTTTGGATACTTGTTTATTTGTATCACAGGTTGGTGTGCCTTCGGACAGAGAACAATATATACATCGACTTGGTAGGACTGGCAGAAAAGGTAAGGAAGGAAAAGGTATATGGCTGCTGGCACCATGGAAAGAGTTCTTCTTGTCCACCATCAAGGATTTACCTTTGACAAAGGCTCCAGCACCCCTAGTTGACCCTGACACCATAAAAAAAGGTGAGTTTCTCTTGTATTCTCCTTTTTCTCATACTTATAAGATCTATGTGCTGTTTAGCATCTTTCATGCAAGGAAATAATGGTACCCAATCACACTGAACCTTAAGAGGGAGAGAATCATCTTTCACTGGATTCAGTGCTATGTTTGCCATGATTCCCTTCCTTGGGTAACCCCCTGGAGCGGCTGATTCGCGTTTGTCTTATTCTGTCTTATTATTTATCCTACTAAAACTTGCTTCGTAAGGTTTTGACATATGAGAGAATAGGGCAGCCATCATTAGGTGAAATAGGACTAATCGGATTAGTTTTTGAGAGATTACACCATCATGAGAGCCACTAAAAGCTATATTTTCTCAATAGCTATGTCATTTACTTCTAATATTTTACTCACTCAGATTTTCAGTAACACGTACATAAGAAATGGGAAAATAATTCTTGATCTCTCTTTCCTTCCTGCTGGATCTAGGCCTAATAAACAAAGATGTCGGTTTGTTCGCCCCAATTTAGATGATACCAGGAGACAGACTGAAAGAAACTAAGTTGGAAAGAAGGTTGATGAATCTAATAATACTGTATAAAGTATTTATGTTGTCCTGCAATAGGAGGATAAGAACTGTTTTTTAGGTTATGTTTGGTTTGAAGGAAAATAGAGGAAAGAAAAAGAAAGTACAGTAGAAAACAATTTTCCCGTGTTTGGTTTAGAATAAATTGAAAAAGAAAATGAATGTTAAAATCACTATAGAAAGACATGTATAAACCCCATTCTTTTCCCCTTTCCCGACTTGATGGGAGTGAAAATGAGGGAGAGTGAGAGAAAATTTCCTTCGATGCCTCCTTCAAAATTCCCGACTCCATCCCCGATCTAGGCGACTCCATCCTCTCCCCCCAAAACCCTAATCCTCCATGGTGCTCTCTCTCTCTGCCTCCAACAAGCTCTCACCCTCTCCTTCTCCATTTCTCGTCGATCTCCTCCTCCCCTCGTCTTTTCTCCCCGAAACTCTACCCTTTCCCCCCAAAACCCTAGCCCTCACCCTACCCTGAGGCCTCACTCCCTGATCTGATCCCAATCGTTTCGGTCGTCGCCGGCATTGATGGACCGACGATTTGATAGCAAGGAGCCGGAGATTGGGCCTGATGATATCTTGTTCGAGAGTTGCGATTATAATCACTAGCTGATTACTATGGATTTCCCAAAGGATCCTGAGAATGCGTCGACGTCCGAGGAAATGGTCGCGACTTATGTTAAGACCGCTGCTATGGTTTTTGGAAGGTATAATTTCTTTGCTCAGTTTTTTTTATTATAAAATTTTAGGGAATGTTGTTTGTGATTCATGGCTAGAGATTGTTTTTTGTTGTTCAGAGGATTCTAGCAAAGTTTATAGGATTATTTTTTTGTTCGTAAATTGAGCGACTTTTAAGTGTAATATTTTCTTCTCTCAAACTGGAGAAGGAACAATTTTTATATGTAAGCTCTTGAAAAAGGAATTCTATAGGATTATTTTTACTCCTTTTGATTTGTTTTATTGAAAGGTAATTTCTTTGATATTTAATGTTTGTAAACATAGTACTGTTCGTGAGTCACAGAATTCTATGGGATCATTAGGGTAATTGTAGTGAATTCAGTAAGTTGTTGATTAATTCCCAGTATCAGTGGTAGAGTTAGTTTTATCATTTTGGTGATTTATCAAGGAATTGTTGTGTACAAACTAATAAATCTAGTTCTTCGGAGTCTTGATGAATATGGTAATTTAACAAAACTACAGGGTTATGGTATTTGGGACATCACTACAAATGTATAAATTCCATTCCTTCGTAATGTTCAAACTAAATATCAGTACTTTTTTGTGTGTTAGTTTTGAAGTTCTTGGAGAGTTTAGACACGCTATCACAATGTTCATATAAAGTTGTGTGTATGTAGATTCCAACTTTATTTAATTGTAAGAGTTCCCTCTTTTCAAGATTTAGTTTAGACACGCTATCACAATGTTCCTGTAAATTTGTGCGTATGTAGATTCTAACTTTATTTAATTGTAAGAGTTCACTCTTTTCAAGATTAACCTATGTTTGTTTAATCCTATACAAAATCTGTGTGCATATATAAAGCTATAATGTTAGTGTAAGAGTGAAATCAAAGTAAATCTTTCTTTTTAAAATTTGGTAATCAACTCTATGTTTCTGTTTAAATTTTCTTTAATCATCCGTGTGCCAGCATTAAAAAGATGCAAACTTAATATGTATGTGATATGTCTAAAAACTAAAAGGAAGACTGACTATGATTTCTAAATCTGGTTATAGTATTGTCTCTCTCTCCAAGTTACCGAGTGAGACTTTTAATTCTTATTTCAATGCGAGATTAAGAATTTGTAGTAACATTGTTAGAAAATATAAATGTTATAGTTCAATGAGATTGCATCCCTTCTTTACCTTTGACTATGAACCTTAGGGTTTATTTTGTGATGTGCTTACTATAGAAAGTGTTTAAATTTGTAGACAAAAGAAGATGAGCGAACGGTTCTCTGCAACACAGCAGAGAACATCATAACGAGGGTATAGGGAGAACATACTTTGATATTTGGAGTATCACATTGCTCTCTCAAGAGAGACCGTGACCACTGAATTTTAAAAGTAGTGTGGTACTATCTTCCTCGAGGTTAGTTTAGCAATTCCTCAGTTTCAGGGATGACATACATCTTTCAATGTATCATCTTAAATTTTTGATCAACAGGGCTTAATTGCATGTTAATCAATCTCAGAAGAGACAATGAATGAACTTTTCTGGATATCCAAGTACAGTTTGGCAATTCCTCAATTCCCTTATCCTTCACCCAAGCTCTGATGTTGCGTGATATTCCACTAGGTTGCCTCAAAAATGGTTTTGGAATGTGTTTCCAGTTGTATTTAAATCTGTGGGACTTTGGTACCATGTTAAATTCTCTTCAACTGCGCAAAACACCACAATTGTGATGAAAGCTGAAGCCTGTTTTATTTAGTTAGCTTCCCTATCAATAGATTCAATGCAAATAGTATACTTTCTAGCTTTTATTCTCAAGAATCCTTGCTGAGATGAGTTCTGTATGTTATTACTTTTGATTAACACAGGCCCCTCTTCTTTTTTCTTTCCAGAGGTCAAGGTCACCCCAGAGGAAACTCTCCACCATATTTCGGACCTACACATAAGTTGGATTTTGAGCTTGAGATGGTTAGTCTTTACTGAGTAGTTAGAATTTTATTCTTCTTAAATATTCCTTATAGATTGATGTTTTTAGACTTAGGTTTAAGGACACCTCCCCCTCTGTTTCGAGTTTAAATACCCCATTGTTCCAGTGAAGCCTTTAACTTGTTTTATTGTATCTCAGTTATAAAGTTTTGCTGCCTGCTGAGAGACCATCATTTCACTGTATTTCAGTGGTCATCTTTTTAATTGGTCTCCATATTGCTTCCAGGCTGCTATAGTTGGTCGCGGAAATGAATTAGGCAAACCTGTGGATATTAATCAAGCAGCTGACCATATTTTTGGACTTGTTCTGATGAATGACTGGAGTGGTAGTCTCAACTTCATTTCTCTTATGTTTCACACTGCGTTTGCATGCAACGTGTTATAGTTCATGTTTCTCCTAATTGTTCATATATCCATCTTGACTAAATCAAGTTAATTGGGCTCACCTTTTTAAAATTGATTCCGCAATTGAATTTCTTCGGCTCACCCTTGTTTTTTCATTTTTTTTTGCTTTCATAACTCTTGTAGTTGTTTCCATTTAGTTCTTGAGAAAAAGTAGTTGAAGTATCTTTCTTATCATGTTTTAAGGTTCTGTTGATTAGTTTTGAGAAAGGAACTATGACACGATGACTGGTGGTTTCTTTTTTCTTCTAAAAGAATGTTGAGATTTCATTTTATAGGTTTTTAATGTTTATATTGTACTTATTTGAATTTTTTTGAATTAATTTCAGGGGATGAAGGATGTGAGATTGATGTTTTAATAGGCTCACTAAAGTCAAAAATCAAGGACTTTGGCAGATTTATCTTTCTTTCTTTGGTTAAGATTTTCTATATGAAATTGATTGTAATAGATTTCGTTGATTAAGATTTTCTATATGAAATTGATTGTAATAGACTTTGTGAATAGAAATGGATTTTACTTTATATTAGGAATATCATGACACTTACTTTAAATTTGCTTTGGTTCTTTCATTGACCTTTCTTTCTGCAAATATTATGTGTGAGAAATGTTATTCTCTAATTAGTGGAGTTATGGTTGTGCTTTTGCTTGTTAATATTTACAAATTTGATGTTGATGGCCACTCACGTTTTGTATTAGGAAATTGCCCATTTTTTCTAAATACGTGTTTATTAACTTGTTACTTCCCATGATATGAATGATACTGATTTTGAATGATATGTTTGAACTACAACATTTTGAATAACTTGCAAGTCCAAAACCATGTAAGATTATATGCAAAATTAGATTCATCATAAATTTGACTCAATTTTCTTGAGTTAAGATTGTGCAAACATGTTCGGTAACTTGTAAATTTTTTAAAAATATGTTAGAATAGAATCACAATTTAATTTAATTATTTTTTTGTAAATTGTTTAAAATCTAAATCTAAATCCGAAAAGTATGAACTAAAATTATGTTGTGATAATTTCCTTCATCTTTTTCTTAGAAAAATAACCAAACAAGAGAAAATAACTTTCTTATGAACTTTCTTCTAGCTTTCATTACAATATTCTTTCTAACCAAACAACAAAAAGAATGTCATTTTCTTTTCTTTTTCTTTTTCTTTTCCTTTTCTTTTACTTTCTTTTCCATTTCCTTTTCTTTCTCTTTCTCTCAAACCAAACATAGCCTTAAGGAATGTGATGGAAATTACTCTAGTTAATATAGGCTGGCCTTAATATTGCATTTGGCCAATTGAAGTCTCAGAGTGAGTTACTCAAGTCACTACCAACCTTATCTCCATTCAACTCCTTTGTGACATGCCCTGGAGATTTAATTCATTAACTATTTGTAGATCATCTAATCATGTTTTTTTACACTACATATGCTACTATAGCTCTTTATACAACTCATACTGCTCAGTTCCTATACCATTTTTTAGATGCATCATGCATGTCTGACAAAAGCAAGGATGTTTTCTGATACATATGTTCATGGGACCCCAAACACTTATCACATATCACCAAAATTTCAATTCTACACTTGATAGTCTCTCAAATCCTGAATAAAGAAAATCTAATATATGGTAAAAACTTAAAATTGTATATTACCTACTAGAGTTGCTCTCAATTGTCTCAATTTACAGATAGCTTCCACTCCCAACCAACAACATCGTCCCAATAAGCTTCTTAAGCTAACAATTGACTTTCTATTACACAATTCAAAGTAAATTTGAATAATCATGTCCACTCACTATTAAAGCTACATGAGACACTGATCATGAAATCGGAAATCAAGCAGTAAAACAATAAAATTTTCTTCATTAATCAGCATTCCACCATCAAATCCTAATCTTTACCAAAAGAATAAATTCAACACGATAATAGTTGCAACAACAAATTCTCTACCCCACATTTTTGGGGTGGGCTACACGAATCCTACTCCTCTCAGTTCTGTTGAGAGTCATCTCCTCCACTAAGTTAATCATTAACATATCATTCTTAAAAACTTCTAACAAACTCATCTTACGCCTACCTCTAGTCCTCCTTTCTCCAATAATATAATCTTCTTATCACTCCTAACTGGTGCATTCAATGAATATTCAAGCTCACTAATCAGGGAAACAACCTCATAAAGTGCGAAACCTTGAAATCATCTCATCGATAAAACATCTCAAGCTGGTTTCTAATTGCATAACAGTGTTTCACGTCAAAATATTCGATGACTAATAACAAAAAACAATACCAAAAAGAAGCAACATACTGCTAGAAATTAATTTATAAAGGAACTTTAAAAATAAATATGGTGAAGTGTTGCATTAATATACTCAAGAAAATCGCTGATGATCCAGCATAAACATCAAAACTCAGCTTTAACCCAATAGTTACCACAGATGTGCTACCTCTCTCGGAAAAAAAATGTAAACAGAAATATTACTGGGTCACACTAACTAGTAGGTGATAAAACTCAATACCCATGAACAGCTCTCAACATCTAAATTTTAAGCAAATACAAACTAGTACAGTAAAAATAACATGCGCACCAAAAGTGACAGTACAAGTTTATCACCATATTTCCCTATGCTTCACGCCTTCTGGTAATGATGCAACTTGTGAAGCAAAACCTTGCCAACAGCATTGCCAAAGGCCATAAAACCACCACCCGGACTGAAATCCAAACACCGAGGATACTGCAAGCTAAATCTCGGAGCAGGCCAGTTGGAAAAGACACTGAACGATGGAATATGAACCAGCTTCAAACTGTTCTTCTTCATGTTTGAACATATAGCTAATATTTGAGCATCGTGGTTAAATTACATAAAATTGACTGTTGTCGTTAGATTCTCAATTGTCTTCAACGGTTTTCTCTTACCCCCAAGAAACTCTTCTCTTTTGTAGATATTCACGATTCCACTGTTCGAGCCAGCAGCGAAAAAAGTGCTGTCCGGGGAAGCACATAAAGCTGAACCAGTGATGCATCCTTCATCAACTGCCTTATGAATGCACCTCCTCGTTCTAAGATCCCAACTATAAACTTACCCATCTCCACCACTGCTCATTAGCTGCTGGCCACCATCAACAAAAGCCAAAGACCGAGCAGTTCCATTCATTTTCAACGTCCATATAAGCTCCTTGGTTCTAGAAGAAACCAAAAGGATATACCCTTCATTCCCGATGAATGCAATAGTTTTTGAATCAGGAGAAACCTCAAACACTTATGAACTCTTCTCCTCTCTACCCGTAAGGGACCAATCTTATCAACCGCTGACTTAACCAAATCAGAAGTATAGAAAAACTTTCTTCGCCCAGATAAATCACCTGAGAACCATCTGGGCAAGAATGAAGCTTTGTGTATCGGGCAGTCCTCAATGAACATACTCTGGACTTTGGTGTTTCGTTTTCCATCGACTTGAAAGAACCTCAAATTTTTGTCTAACCCAGCAGTGAGTAGCAATTGCCCGTTCCTATGAAAATGGATAGAGTTAATAGGACCATTTGAGGGCTCCTCACCATTAGCATCCATCAACCTCGAGTACTCCAATAAAGCAGGGAGCAGCTTTACATCACTCTTCACCACAAGCTCATCATTGTAACGAAGGACATCATCGCCAACAGTGACACCACTTTCACTATCAGAATCAACAACATTGTTGGCTTTTCGATCAATTTGTGCCCATTCAGTTCCGGGGTTCAATTTGGCATGCTGAGCTCGTAGCCTCTCAACATAGTCCTTCCCCCGAGATCAGTTCCTCTTCAGCTTCCTTTCTCAGTTTCCTCAGCCTTCTAACCTTAAATATATTGATCTCTGCCTTCTCCTCTTCGTCGACCCAAACAGGCTCTCTCTCAGCTTTAACATCTTCTTCTTCTTCGACTTGAGCATCCAAGTTCTCTTTATACACAACCATCTCGTCACCAGCTGACTTTTGCATAACGAACCCAACTTCAGCTTCCCTTCCGAACTCCGACAGAGAATGGAGAGTTCCAAACAGAGAGAACTCTCAAGCCTCTTCATCTCTCTCTCTCTTGCTTGTAGTGCTCTGATACCAATTGTTGCGCGTAGCGAAAATTTCAACAGCATTTCGGCAGCACAACAAGAGAGTCAAGTCGCAATAGAAATTCTTATTTCATAAAAAAAACAAGAACCAAAAAGAAAAATATCTCAACAAAGTGGGATATCAGCTCTTCTTCTCATCAGTTCTAGGACTGACCTGTCGATGGAACCTAAATAAGCTATTACAAATCACACAACCTGTGAGGCAACCAATTTTACATAGTTCGGTAATTTGCCTACGTCCATAGGGAGAGGAATGAGAGATTTTACTAAATCAAGGAGAGTACAAAGGGTTACAAACTCACAAAACTCACAAACTAACCCTCAACCAAAGCTCTCAACTTGCTAACAATATCTCCTCTCATAATGCTCAAAAGTCTTTCTAATCTCTTATTACAACGCTCCTCTTTTTTATTATTGATTCTAATCTCCATATATATAGAAAACCTAAAACCAAAACAGACTAGGAATTCTAAAACAAAAAACAAAATAAATTAGGAATTCTAATAACATGTTACCAAAACAGATTAAAAATCCTAATAACCTCATGTTACCAAAATAGATTAGGAATCCTAATAACCTCATATTACCAAAATAGATTAGGAATACTGCTATCCAATAATTATCCACCTCGACGAAGTATTTCCAAAACTGAGCCGACACCAACATGAGCACCAATGCATCATCTCATCAAATTCGGCTGTACCAATGTGGTTGTATATGTACCCCCTCTCCCAAGGATTCAAGTTGCTCGCAGTTCATCCAAATGGCCGTCAACGGCCTTAACAATCATGAATATGCAATAAGCTTCTATAATGATCAAACTTGTTGCTCGGAACCACCTTAGTGAGCATATCCGTCGGATTATCCTTCGTGTGGACTTTCATAATCTTCACATCGTCATCTTCAAGAACATCCCGAACGAAGTGATAATGAACGTTAATGTGCTTCGTCCTCGTATGAAAAACATGATTCTTCGCCAAATAGATAGCACTCATGCTATCACAATGAATAGTGACAGATCACTGCGATATACCAAGTTCCTCCAAAAGTCCTCGAAGTCAAATAGCCTCCTTGATAGCCTCCGTAATCGCCATATACTCTGCTTCCGTCGTAGACAAAGTCACCGTCCACTGTAAGGTGTATTTCTAACACACTGGCGCATGAGTCAAAGTAAACACATACCCCGTTGTAGACCGGCGCTTATCCAAATCCCCGGTATAATCCGAATCAACATAGATTATGCATAACTGCCCACCTGTAGTGTCCCACTCATAAACCAAACCAACATTAAGCTTACCTCGAATGTACCCCAAAATCTATCTCACGGCGTCCTAATGACCCACTCCTGGATCGTGCATGTATCTCGAAACCATGCTCACCGCCTGTGACAAATCTGGTCTCGTACAACCATCACGTACATCAAGCTCCCAACTGCGCTCGCATATGGGGTCTTCAACATCAACTCTCGATCTTCA